AATACAGAATTTTTTAAAAAATTTAGTAAAAAATTAAGTAAAAAATAACAAAATACAAAATAACAGTAAAAAATAACAGAATTAGTAAAAAATTTAGTAAAAAATAACATTAACCAATGGATGTATTATCCTAAAAAATTTAGTAAAAAATAACATTAACCCTGGATGTTTAAAACAATGTTTCTGTTATTTTGTTGTTAATAGTATTGGTGTCTTTTTTTAGTAAAATTTTTTACTTAATTTTTTACTAAATTTTTTTAAAAAATTCTGTTATTTTTTACTAAATTTATTACTGAATTTACTAAATTTTTTACTAAATTTTTTACATCGGTTAATGTACAAAAATTTTTTTTGTTCGTCATACTCAAAACGATGTCGTTTTGAGTATTTTTTTTTTGTTCACAGTTACCAAAACGACGTCGTTTTGATCATGACGAACAAAAAAAAAATTAATCAAAACGACGTCGTTTTGATAAGGACGAACAAAAAAAAATAATCAAAACGACGTCGTTTTGATTTTGACGAACAAAAAAAAAAGTAAAATGATGTCGTTTTCCGTTCCGGTGACGTTGCAACGAGATTTTTTTCCGTTAACGGAATAAGACCGTTGACTAACGGGAAACTAGTCAATGTATGGATTTACCAAAACTTTATTAGTGCAGGTATGAAAAGGCCGGTTTTAATGAGTTCAGGTATGTATTCGGGCACTCAAATTTCTCAAGTATATTTTCACACCATTTGATGAAATTGAGGTAGGTTTTGGCCGATTTCCCTGAAATTTTCCTCCTCACTAAAACATTCTATTAAATTCTTTTTCTTCTGATGTGAAAAAAAAAAAGGAAAGAGGGATACATGTGCCGCGCAGTATTACTTTCGTTCCCTTCATTAGTGGTCCCCTTTTTGGTTTACAATTTAATTTTCGAATCAAAATATATCAGTCCCTCCCCTACTAGTAATATTAATCAACCAAATATTACTATTAACTCTGAAAATATTTACTTCTCCATATAGTACAAATGTTGAATTCAATGCCAAAGAATCCTATCAGTTTCTTGAATCAAATTATATTTTTTCCTAGAAAATAATAATATTATTTAAAAATTCATAAATAAGAGAATTATGTGTCAAAAAAACTTCGCAAAGTAACTCAGTTACAACAATTGTTGCGGAAACACATAACAAATTTCTCGTGCCAGGTTATTTATCTATGTGAATATCAGAATATCCTTATCAAATACTACATGTTTATATTTTTAGCATACAAATGTATGATATAATATTTTATAGTTCTATAAAATTATTAAACACGTCAGTTTAGTATTATAATCAGATAAATGAACACGCTAAAAATCGAATAAAAACTTTTTGTTCACCCTATTCAACAACAATAACTCACATTATTAACATTTACCTAATTTAATTTTTCTTCATTGCCACCTACCTAACTAACTCTACATTTAAATTGTTACTAACAAAGACAAAACAAACTTGTTACTAACAAAATTAATATGAATAGAAAAAGGGAGTCAATGGAATATAAGAAAAATGTGAAAGATAGATGAACGATAGATGAAAGATATATGAAAGATTAAAGATAAAGAATAACTAACGGTTTCCTCAGAGGAACAGTCGCATTAAATTTGCTTAGGCTCTTCACATGGCCCTGCATGTGTCCTTTGTAAATGTTAGTGTACCCCATATATATAGGCACACAACCATGTCTATTATATTTATCCTTCAATTTAAAAAATATATATATATATAATGAAATGAGAACTTTCCTCGAATACAATTATGTATATGATGTCAAAAATAAATATATATATATATATATGTAATTATGTATATTAATTGGTACAGTGACAAAGTAACATTAATGTAACTATGCATATGCATTTGATTTGTTCAGAAGTGAACTTTAACTCTACGTATTCCCCAGTTCTCTTTGAATATCTTTGACATCATTTATTTTCTAGTCAGATAGCCAAACCAATAACTTCTAGGAACAATTATGTAAAGCTGCGTGCAGTCATAACCCAAAGTTTGAACAAATAATACGGTTATATTTTTTGTTCTAAAAAGATGGATCGTCCAAACACCCATAATTTATTATAAAAAGTCAATTTCTTTCCATATAAAAAACATAGAAAGAAATATACAAATCAATTATGAGTACCCCATCACATCAGAAAATCTTTGATGATCGGAAAAAAGTTTGCATCCATTGCGTATATTGATCTTGGCTGATAGATATTAACAAATACAAATGGCAAGTAGGCTTTCAAGAGAGAAAAAAGAGCAAAATCCAAAAAATTTATGGTACTTATAATTATTGGTTATACGGTTAATCTAAAACATACATTCTTATGTTGAGTATCAAACTAAAACATGCTACAGTCGTTTTTTCCTGGTAAAGAACATTTCACAATACTGTTTTATTTTCCATTTCACAATACTGTTAATTCAAATCATGTTCTTACTGTTATTATTCATGCTAGATGCAGTATATATTATGTATAATCTCACGAATTTTGCTTTTTGATAACCACGGATTTCCAAACTATAATCTACGCTAAATTATTAGTGAATGATACGATTAAAGTATTTTAATAAACCAAAATGGTTAACTATAATTAGAATACAATGATTTTTTAATGCTGATAGTAGAGGTTATTAGACTCACTCAACACTGCAATATCGAGACTAGTTTTAGTTTTGAAAAAGAAATGATCTAGAAACTTCAGTTACATAAAAATGGTTGTTGAAAAATTGAATCTCTTGAGATATGATGAATATAGTAAATTTGTTTACTATGATTTTGGGGCCAAAAATATGTATATCTGATCTTCCATGATCGGATCAGAGTGTTATAGGATTTTGTCTCAAATAATACTCGATCCTGTAATTTATGAGCATTGTTTTTGAGGTTTTTGATCCACTCTGAGATAACAACACTTGATAAATTGCCTTTCCAATACTGAAACTGGTGTTAGGATCATGATTTGGATGAAATGATAATTGGTTTCTTCGGAGGAATTTTTTTTTTTAGTGGTTGTTTGAGTCACTTTGTAGCGTTCAATTTTTTAAAGTATATTAATAAGGTTTTTTTTTTGGTATTAATGAGTTAACGTATTTTAATTGCAAATGAGTGAGCTCGCTTAGATTTGTCAAATTTTATTTATGGTTCAGAGTTAATAGGATACACAAATTCTAAAATAATGATTTTTAAGTCAATCATTTGAAATTTAAGTTTAAATAATACATTAATAGTACTGTAGTATAGTCTCTCACCTACATTACAAATAAATTATATGATTTTATAATAAAATTAAATTCTGGAACGGACCATATGTTTTGGACAAAAAAAATGAAATATAGATATTTGCAATACTATTTAAGGTGACCGTGTTACCCTTATGGTTACAGTAAAAGTATGATACGTGTCTATCAAAAACACATACATAGGCTCCGAATGATGAACATAATGCAGATTATGCTGATAAAATAGAATCAATGCAAATCAAGCAGATTATGCAGATCAATAAAATCATAAATATAAATCAATAAAATAATTAAAAAATAGAAAAGAAATGCAGAACTGGATGAACATGTCTAAGGCTTTGAATGGGATGCAGAATAATTGCAGTTAAATTGTATTTAAAATGATCTGCAATTTTTTACCATTCACAGATTTTATGCAGAACAAAAAAAATTAATATAAAATTAGAAAATCTGCATGCAGATATTTACTTGCCTAAAAACCAAAGAAAAAAATTTCTTCCAGCTCTAAAATATGAGCAGTCCACCCAGTTTTGCATCCAGTTCTCATTTATTTTTTTAATAATATTTTTTTAATTCTGCATAAATTGATCTGCATTGCTGCCATTCAAAGCCTAAAAATGATGTAGTCCATTTTTTATTCAGTATGAAAAATAATATAGATCTGCATGCAGATTATCATTTTTTTATTCTAATTTTAATCTGTGTTTTTTAAAACATGAATGGTAAATAAAATGCAAATGATCCTTACATGCATTTACTCTGTGAAGGTTAAGGACCATTTTTCTGGGAGTTCTCTTATTTAAGTCTCCTTTAATTTATCTCGTGATCGCTTTTCACTTTACAGCCCCATTCTTCAGGACAACTGTTTCTTTTTTTGTTTTCTCACTTTTTGCAACAACTAAAATATTTATCAATTGATTCCAATTTAAATAGTGTAAGTCATGATTTTTGGCTTGAGTAAAGTATTCTATCAAATACATCCTTTCAGAAACGAGATAATTCAATTTAGCAAGTGCAACAAAAAAACAAAACAAAACAAAAAATAGAGTTTTACTTGATGGGCCTTCTTTTTCAATGGGTCCTAACCTTTTTCAGTTTTCATGATGTCTCTCTGCAATGCCAATCCCCACTTCGTCTTCTTCTTGTTGTTGCGTCTCTCTGCTTTTCAAAGTTTCAGCCTTTTTGAGTCGAGTGGTTCTCTTACGATGTGCACGGCCTTGTCTGTGTTGCTCCCACTCGTGTCTTCCTCTTAGTACCTTGTTTCCACAAGCCTGCTTCAACAAAAAATGTGTTCAGCATATATATAGAGATCCTACTTGATGTTAAGAGACATTGAACACAGAACTAATTGTTACCTCACAAACATATTGACTCCATAGATCTCTTTCAATTGACTTTGAATCATGACCCAATTCAGTTTCTGTCTTCAAGAAACACCTCAAAATCTCTGACGCAGGTTTAACCACTTGCGCATCCCATGACTCTTCAGATTTGCCTTCAAGAACAATAGAACAGACCAACAAGATAGACTCTTAAAAGTTTGTTCTTCCAAGTAGAGATTTGGTATCTTAAGTCGAAACAATTGATGAAACAAATAATGTTTACTTAGTAAGCACTCTGTTGCATCAATGTGATGAATATTCCAGCCGAAGATCATTTGTAGCCGATTGATTCTCCTTTTCTGAAACACAAACATATGAAATGCTTCAGATATGATCAATTCCATAAGTTACGAGAGCTTCACAAACTTACTTGACGACGAAGGAGCCTTCTTGTATTTAACTTCACCCTATCAATTGCTTCATCTAACATAATCCTCAACTTATCATCTTCTGGAAAATCCAGAATCTTCCTCAGATTCTCCTTCATAACCTTATCATCCTCGCTTGAGCTCGTTAACTGACCAGCACCTCTGTTAGAGAGATACATACTCAGGAAATCTTCAAACTCTCTGACACCTATGGACTGCCTTATACCTCTCGTATAGTCAGCTCCTGGTTTGTAGATGTCATATACTTCATCAAGTAGTCCAGCATCTACCATGGAATCTACTCTTTCTCCAACATATCTATCCAGTACCGAGGTTTCAGCGTCCATACATAAAAAACAGTAATCGAAACGAGAGGCATCGATGCATCCCCAGTTCTGCCCTGCCGCATACATTAGTTAAATTAACTTCTCAAAGCAGTTAAGGTAATGTTACATGTAAGAGACAAACCCAAATCCAATTGCAAAAATCTCGAGGTAAAGAGGAAGAGACACACCTCTGCAGTCTTTCCCTGATATAGCTTGCTCGGAAGAACTCCTTTACTAGCATGCAAGCTCAGGTATTGATTAATCTACAAAACATCGGAACAGAGTGAGTAAACCAGAAACTCTGTAAAGACCACAAAAGCCATACAAATCAAGGTCTTTGGCTATTAATACATAAGAAAATCAAGATAGCAAATCAAGAAATCTCACTTTTCTGTGATTGTTAGGGTGAATTCTGTTTGCTGCCACAGGATCAAGCTCTTTAAGAAGTTCATAGCCATCACTAAAATCATTTCTCCCAGAGATAGACACAACATCCAACGCTTCATTAGCCACTGTCAGCAGAAAAGTCTCTCAATTATCCGGTTAGAATTATTAATTTTGTTGATAAAGATTCTAGATACCTGAAGCGACGACATTTGAACAGCACTCCTCGATATCTTCAGCTGAATCATCAAGAAGAAACTTACTCACAACAGCCTACAATGAAGAACATTAATAAGATAAAACAACGGTGTTAAACAACGGTTATATCATACAATGCTCTTGCCACAAAACCAGACATGGCTTAATAAACCAACCAGCAAGATTGATGATTACCTGTATATAATAGTTTGTTCCTCCAACAAGAACTGGAATGTGATTGCGAGAAAGAATCTCCTCAATAAGCTGAAAGAAAACAATCGTAAACAACACAATGTGATTCTCCAAAATAAATAGGAAAACAAATCATCGAGTTTAACACCATAACATATATGGCTCTAGGCTCTACACAACCCTCTTATATAATTATCAGATTCTCCATAAGAACACATTAACAGAAGAAATTTCAATAAGCCGGAAAAAAGCAATCACATACGACCAAAACATTGTGACTTTTTCCATATCATAAACTCAATGTGATTGCGAGTAAGGATCTCCTCAATAAGCTAAAACAAAACAACCAAAAACATTACTTAGAAGGTGATGCTGATGCAGAACAACAAAATGTGATTCTTTCAAGTAATGGGGACACAAAACATTGAGTTTAACACCATAACGAATGTGTCTCTAGTCTCTACACAATCATTATCAGAATCTCCATAAGAACATAAAAGAAGAAACTTTAAGATGCTCACAGGAATGGTGAAGTCTCGAAAATCCTTAGCAGTGAACTCCATATCTGGACTCACCGTGCCTAGTAGATGATGAGGCACTCCTAAAAAAATAAAAATCACTCGAAATTTTTCACAATCAGAGCTTTCAGAATCGAGCTACAAAGAGAATTCAGAATTTAAATGAAACCTTTCTGCTCGTTGATGGTGACTTTATTGGTGAGAACGTCGAGGCCACTGTAGATCTGCATTGCGTCGGCGTTAATGATCTCCACCGGAAATTGAGACGCCAAGTCAACGGCTAGCTTCGATTTCCCAGATCCTGTTGGACCCATTATCACAACCACCTTCGCTTTCTTCTTCTTCTTTTCGTCGATTCCGCCATTGTTAGGGTTTAACAACATCGCTTCGTCGGAAGTAAGAAAACACTCTCTCTCTTCTCCCTCACTCTCTCCTCCGGTTGTTCAACTTGTCAATTTTAACCGGAGTATACAGAAAATATCAAACCGGAAAATAGGTCCGGTTAATAACTTAACTGCTTTCAATTCGGTCTGGTTTGGTTTGATAAAACTAATAAAAAGGCCGATTTATCGGCCCAACACGCGTGGTTCGCTACATAAGCTTTAGGTTAGACCAAGTCCATTAGAGTTTTTTAAGAGGTTTAGTATTGGGTTTGTTAGCAATTATTGGATAAAAAATAAATAAAAAATGCCAAATACATAACAAACGATCCTTAGAAAAGGATTTTAAGGAGCAATCCATACAAAGTTTGTTCAAATAGGTGTAAAGTGCTCATTGGTATTCGATTAAAAAACAATTGAGATTGGTTCTTTCTCCAAATATGGACCATAAATTGTCCACCATTTTTTCTCTCTATCAATATAATACATAAAAAAAATGAAACTCATTTTCTCTCCATCGATTTAATAAATTGTCGACCACTGTTCATTAATTAATTTAATATTCTTAAAAACTCTAAAGACGAATTATCTAATGGACATGCTCTTAAGGCTCTTCTGCTCTGACAAAAGTCACAAAATTATAAGAATCTATTTGCAGGGTGGATAATCTTTTAACTATATCAGCTAGTTTTCTATAAAAAAAATTTCTTTTTGAAATCTTTCTGAAACTGCATTCATTTTTCTTATTGTGATCGGTTTTTGGCTTTTAGATGACAAAGAAAAGGAAAAGGAAGAAACTTGATCTTGAATCGGATGCCATTTTCGATATGAATCCCATGAGATCTATCAGCATGCTGAATCCTTAGACAAGTTGATTGAGTTCATCCCTGCGAGATTCTATCTGCCCATGAAACATGAAAAGAAGTGGTTTCGTTTCAAGGTCTTATCTGACCACTCTTGATTTGTAGAAACAGAAGCTGTAAAATGAATAAAGCCCGGTAATGAGACAGATATCAAGCCTATGATTGCTGGTTTCAAGAAGATGATACATATAAGAGGAAGATAGACTCAAGTTCTTGAGGTTTGGGAATTCAATGTTGTTGAAGAGGCACTTAAAAATCTTACGTATGGTTATGTCAAGATTGGTGACGATGATGATGATGAGGAATATGGGATAAACAGAAAAGAAAAAGATAGTTTCTTAGGCAAAAGAGCTTGAAATAGCAATTAAGTTAAAAGATTTTAAAGAAAGATGGGGATGTTGTAGCAAAGAAGAACTTGTGGCAAGCGGCTATAAGCAGAGCTGTTGTTATCAAGATTCTTGATGATCTAAAGCTATTGAAGAATAGAATCCACAAGGGAAAGAAGAGGCGCGAAAAGAATGCAGAGAAGTGGAAGGAAATAATTGAAGGGCAACAAAAGGTTAAGGTGAAGAAACAGCAAAAGAGATCATGAGAGAATATTTTTGAGAGGATTCCAGAGATGATGATGAAGAAGATTGCCAAGAGTTATGTTTAGTTTCATCTATTACTGAGTTTTGTAGCCTTATTTATTTATTTTTTTTCCATATGCTTATCTGCATTATATCTACATTGAATGAGGAATGTTTTGTAAGAAATTTTGATAGAGGTTAAAGTCGCATAGCCTAAGACATATTGCTTTTACAATTTACAGACCAATTACACAACTTGCATATTTTTCTGGAACATTGTCACAACACATGAAAGCATAAGAATGTGAGATTATACCGAATCATTAAACACATTTCTTCTAAGGTTTTCAGAATCAGAAAAATAGTTTTGATCACAAAGACAAGCAAATAATATATTGAATCAAACAATTAAAAGCTGCAGAAGAGATATTAAAAAAAAAAAGCTTGGCTGCTTTTTGCAACCTTTGATTTGTCATCCATCTTGTGTTAGCGACTTAGCGTAGCGAAATATCAATGCTTTTGCTGAGTTCCTCAAGCTTTGACATCCGAAGTTTCTCGCTTTCAGTAACAAGCTGAACACATTTCATACCGAAAAAAATATTCAGAAAACAACAATCCTTATCAAAGAAAGATGGAGACAGAATGTTTCACCTCAACAAGTTTGCTAACAAACATAGCTTTCTCTTTGTTCTTTTCATTGTAAGCTTCAAGGGCTTCTTTGAATTCCTTCTCCTGAGTAAACAACAACCATTGAGACAAGATTCTGCAAGAAAAGATTAATGAACACATCTTTAACACACAATAATTACCTTTCTTTGACAACTCTGTCCTAAAGGCTTGAGCTCTCGGTTAATAGCATCGACTCTTTTCCTTAACGCGGATATCTCCTTTCGCATTGGATCGGTAAGAGCTTCTAGCTCCTGAAAAGTGTTATAACCACAAACTCTCTCAAAAATGGAAAAAAAAGAAACAACAAATCTTTGTCTAAGTTCTTGAAAATGTTAAAATCAAACTTACTTCTCGAATCTCAGCTAATCTTCTAGTGGCTTCCTCAGCGAGTCCAAGCTTTGTTTTGACCCTATCCTTAACCTCCATTTTCCTCCTCTCAATCTCATCTTCCTTTGCCTTAAACAAAGCCAAAGCAGAACGTGAAAGCTCCTCTTCTTTGTCATCAATCATGGGACTGCCATTGATGCTCTTGATGCGTTGAATATATGGCGATTGTGGCTGTTCCAAGATCTGTCTTGTCGTTGCCATTATTCCTCAGATTTTTTTTTCTTTCTTTCTCTTCCTCAATAAAGGAGATGATTTGTTATATAACCCAAGACTTGGCATTAAGAGCCTATCAAAACTCATTATCATGTTGCTTCTATTTCTTTAGCTTACTAAAGGTGTCACGGCTGTAAAATGACTAAAGTGCCCTCATGGTCAAACACACCATGACTGATTAACCATCTATTTTAGACCGATTTAGAGACTTAAGAGGTCCAATCCATATTTTCTATTGAATACATTTAGTTTGGCTCATAGTAAGGTGTAGAAAAAAAGAATACCAAGTGGGGCTAAAGCTCTAGTAGGTTAACATGTTTCTTTTCAATTGGTAATTTTAACAACTTTCTTGAGTTTAGTTTATTTGAAACAGGTAGCTAAAATGTTATTCTCACTGTTTGGTTACCAATCCATAAATAAGACAAAGATGTACATAGATAAAGTAGGCAAATGTATGGATTAAATTTAGAAACAAATGTTAGGTGTGTGGTTGAAGGCAGAACAGAAAAAAAGAAAGGATATTATAATTTTGCAGTTGAGTTTATAAGAAGATCAAATTGAAAATAACAGATATAAATATTTCTTCTTTTTTTCTTTATAAAAGTAAAAGCCAAAATAAAGATGTTTCGTGCAATGGAAAGATGAGTGCTTGTAATGGAAGGCTTCTTGTAATGTGGAGGAGACAGTAAAATATGGGAGTACTGTCACCTGTGGCTGAAACTTAGGGGGAAAGCAATCGTTTACATATATATATGTATATCATCAATTTAAAGTATGAAAGTTGAAACATTTTGGTATATTGACATAACATATAACATAAAAAATGTGTCAGTTTAATGACTAGTGTCATCGTTATCATTTCATATAGGTTTAACTAAATTAGCCTGTATCATTGAACAATTTATAAATATATTATTGGATATATCATTTTAGTTTTTAGAAAAGTTATTTATCAAAAAAAAATTTAAGTAAAAAATGTGAAAGATTTCAGACAAAGAAATTGATGTCTTTTGAATTACAAATGGTATACGTATTTACAATCCACATACAGTTAAAAGTATTAAAACGCTTCAGTATAGACAAGGAAATTATTTTAGTATCTAGAGCTATTAGATAAGTAATTGATGAAGATCATCTTCGACTACATGAGAAATTAAGAGATAAAACGATGAAATAGTATATCTAAGAAAAACCATGGACATGTATGTACCTAGTCAATTGTATTCGATCTGATATAAGTCTCCAGGTAAAATTTAGTTCGTTTCCCACATAATACATTAAAATGAAATTTAAATCAATATTTTCACTTTCAGATTGAGTTGGAATTATTTCTATATTATTATTTGAGTAGATATTTACATAAACATTTACTTATAAGATATTATATAATATTTTACATAAATAATTTTTTATTTGTAAAATATTACAGAATACTTTATATAAATAAACATTTATTTAAAAGATATTACACAAATAAGCTTTTACTAATAAAATATTACATAAATAAATTTTATAAATATAGAAAGCTCAATTAAATATTCCTCCATAAAAGATAGTTAAATATAGAGCTCACATATTTGTTTTGAATATATATAGATATAAATCAAAAGTGCATTTAGTTTCTTTAATTGTTAAAATATTAAAATATATTCTATTATTTTAAACAATAATCAATCCATATATATGAAAAAATCTATTTAAATTTTTGCAATATTTTTCATTTGTATTCTCATAATCAATTAATACTTTTTCAAAAATCAATTCAATATTTTTATAAAAAAACTAAAATCTGTTTTCAAATTTAAATTGTATTTTTTTACGGATTGGTCAAAAAAATATTTTAGTAAATTACGAAATAGATTAAATAGATTACTAGATGTGTTTCTCTACATATATATAGTCATCATTAACATATATTATAGAATTCATTAACTAAAAATGATAGTTTAATCTCTAATAAAATATTTACAATTAAATTATTATTTTATGGATATATATATATATATTTATATTATAATCTATGGTAGTATTGTATATAAGTATATATATATTAACATCTTATCACTTTCATATTTAAAAATTACTAATAATTAAACTGTATAACAAAACTAACTTAAAGTCTTATTCGATGATATATATATACAAGTAAATATCGGTTTTGTGATATTTATATAAATATGTATTATTATCTAGTTGCCACCAATTTTATTTATTTATATTTTTTGTTTAAGGAATTTTGTCACTAATTTTAGTTACACCAAAAATTAAAATTAATATTAAATTTAAAGATAATTTTGAAAAATATTATCCCGCACAATGTGTGGATTAATTCCTAGTTATATTAGAAAAATAAAAATATCAAATGATTGAATTTTAAGACGTGAGATATCTATCAGATCTTCAAACTTGTTATATATTCACAATCGTATGCACTACTATATCTTGGTATTTTGAAAAACATACCAAATGGTCACTCTTTCAACCATGCTGAAAGTAAATTACATTCATAAGACTAGAAAATGAGTATTGCTTAAGTCAACACACATACAATCAAGTAGTAGAATTTAATAGGCAACTATCTTTTTTTTTTTTTTTTCCGATAGGCAACGATCTTATATAAAGAAAACGGTGCATATGTTTCTCAAGGGAAAAATATTCAAAAATCATTCCTATTCCTCCAAAAATCTTTTCATCTACCCAAAATGTCAAGAATAACAAAGTCATTGAAGTGAAATATGTTCAATAGTCTCACAATGATACATATTGATACATATTTTTTTTACAAATTGTCTACCACGATGTCCAGGAAGATGTCCAAAGCATTAGAATATATTTTCGGGCCCAATTGTTATTTTTCAGCCCATTTCACTCCTTACAAAAAAATCTCTCTCCTTCCCTTTCCTTCCTCACTTTCTTCATTTCTCTCAGACAGTATTTTCTTCTGTAAGCGGTTTTCATCTACAGCCGGTGACGAATTCTAACGATCTTCCATCGACGAGGTTCTCTTCTCTTGATCATCTTCTCCGATTTCGATTCCTTCTTCCTCGTTATCGTTTTAGATTCGCTTAGTAATTTGACGTTTTCTTTTTCATCTCCTTCGATCTAATAGCCTGAATATTTTTTTCCCTGTCGCGATATCAGTGTGTTGAGGTCGTATGGTTTCGATTCATGTATCTGTATCAGGATTAGGTTTCGCGTATCTGCTTTTATTTGATATTATCCTTCGCGATACCACCATTTAGAGAGGTCGTATGGGTTTTAGATATAGGTTATCGTTTCTCTGGTTTAAGATCGAGATTAGGTTTTGCTTCTCTGATTCTATTCGCTATATTCGTTCTTTGCTGTGTATTTGCCTGCCTGTTTGGGGTCTTTGGTCCTCCGATTTTGTCGGTGTGAAATTTATGATCCATTCAGTCTTGTTTCTTTCACTTTTGAGCTCATTGTGCTTCATCTAAAAAGTTTATAACCCTAGGTTGAATGGATTTGGTACATGAGAAATTGTGGCTAACGAACACTTGCATTTACAGCCTCCATGAGGATTCACAAGTGTCTTGTCTGTGTTTTCCTTTGAAAGTATACTTGTTTGACTATTCTGCTAGCTCATAGTTGATATGGTAGTAGATGTTTTTAGCTAAGTGATTCAGTCGTATGTATGATTAAAATGGTTGTGAGAGATGACCACCCCAAGTATTTTCGTGTGAGATGTTATGATTTTCATTATGTTTTTTTTTTATTTCTTTATTAACAGGATACTTTTTCATTACCATGGCAACAAGAAGCGCTATCAGAGTTTTGTCTCGCAGGTTCTCTAGTGGTAAAGTTCTTAGCGAGGAGGAAAGAGCTGCTGAGAATGTTTTCATCAAGGTAAAAAATTTCTCTTCATGTTGTCTGTTTAGTCTCCGTAGACCTCAAAAGAGGTGCTTAAAGTCTATCTACTTTCCTTTTATGTTGATGATGATGAAAACTTTTTATCGATCACTTCGTGATTCTATTTATCTCTGTTGTGAACTATTTGACTTAAAACCCTCAAAAACATATCTACTTTCTTTTTATGATGATGATGAAAGATTTTGATTGATCCCCTCTTGATTCTATTTATCTCTGTTGTGAACTATTAGACTCAGAATCCTCAAAGCAGTCTATCTACTTTTCTTTTAAGATGATGATGAAAACTCTTAATCGATCCATTTATCTCTGTTGTGAACTATTAGACTTAGAATTTTTCAAAGCAGTCTATCTACTTTCCTTTTATGATGATGATGAAAACTTTTAATAAATCCCTTCTTGATTCTATTCATATCTGTTGTGAACTATTCGGCTTAAAATTTTAAATCTTCAAAGCGGTGTATCTACTTTCCTTTTATGATGATGAAGAAAGTTTTATTAATTCCTTCTTCATTCTGTCTATATCTGTTGTGAGCTTGTATTCGGTAATATGTGGGATTTTACTTTTAAGGAAAGATCTCATGTATGATTGTAAAAGTTAAAGTATCTTTTGTTAACCTTGTAACATCCAGCTTGAACTATAAACACGTTAGATACTGTCTTTTTGTTTCTTCTTAGGAGTCATATGCTGTTCCTCTTCAGCTTGGTTAGATTAATATTGGTGAAAATCAATCTCTTAAGTAGCTACATTGTTATGGCAGAAAATGGAGCAGGAGAAGCTTGAGAAGATAGCCCGACAGGTAATAATGGTTCCTTTAAATCAAGTACTGTAGTTAAAACTACAAACAGCTTATATGGATGAAATTTTCTATCAAGAAAAAAAGAGAAAATTCACAGTGAACTCTAATGAAACTTCTAGGGTCCGGGAGAACAAGCTGCAGGAGCAGCAGGGGCAGCCAAAGCTAGTGGCGCAACATCATCCGCATCGGCTGAGTCGGGCCCGAAAGTGTCAGAAGACAAGTACAGAAACTATGCGGTTGTGGCGGGTGTGGTGACTGTCTTTGGTGCGATCGGTTGGTACATGAAATCAGGTGGAAAGAAGCAGCCAGAGGTTCAAGAGTGAAAACGATAGAGAAAGACTTGGAAGTGAATAAAACAGAGAGTGGGGCTTTACACTTTTCCTCTCTTATGAGAAACTTTGGAATCGGAATATCACGTTGCTTATTCTCTTTTCTGGTTTCCAAATCTTGAAACAGTTGACTTTGTTTTTTGGTTTGTTGACGTTTAAGTTTTGGGATCTTTTTAACTCCATAGACCCTTCTTGCTCTCTTTTGATCAAAATAGCTGAAATTCTCATTCTAAAGAAAGCAAAAAGATGCGTCGAAGTTGGGTCGAATTGGGATCTTAACTTCAGTTTCTTCCCTTTCAATTATCTCAAGTTCTTGGTGACATTGTTCAGTGATGATTGTGGCAAGATAGCTGAAATTAGACAAACGCAAAACGGTAATTGCGTTTCGGTAAATTGCGTTTCAGTACATAGAAGATAAATTGAAACGATAACAAATGATCTAGGCCTACTCTTAAGTTCTTGGTATAATTGATATTTTTATAAAGATTTTTAGTGACGTTAGTTAATATGTAAATAATTCGTGATGTTAAAAACGATTGTGAGGTAACACATCTAGAAATTGAAATACAAAAGCGAATGATGTTTTTGAGTAAAAATCTCTTAAAAATTTTCAGCAACATCTAAAAAGATGAGTGAAGAATACAAAACTAAACAACAACATATAGATTTCAAAACGTTACAACATGAAAAGATAAAAAGATGACAACAAAAACCGGAAAAGCCAAGCTTTACTGCCTTACTCGAACAGACTGAAACCCATGTCCTGCAAAATTCAAACACAAGCAAATCCATCACTTCTCAATTCACTTCAAGCCATGTTTAAAAAGCACATGAATGAAAGAAAGTAAAACTTACATCATCGGATTCTTCTTTCTCTTCTTTCTTCTCTTCTTTCTTGGCCTCAGCCGCAGGAGCAGCACCACCTCCTCCACCAGCAGATGGAGCAGAAGCCATCGCAACACCACCACCACCACCAGATGGCACTGAAGCTAACTTCTCCCTTCCGGCAGCAATTAGCTCAGCCAAGTCTTTCCCTTTCACTTCCTTTAGCAAAAGCTCAATCTGAGAATCCTCTGTTTCAGCACCAACTGCAAAATACAAAGATAACAACCACCACAATTTAATCAAACAATTGTTCCTCCCCATTACAAACATCACAAGTTCACAACTTACAATACAGTCCCATTTTCATACCACAAATGCAGCTTACTGGATCAAATTGTTCATTCTATGTTTCTCTAATGACATTAGTAGAAAGAATGCTTATACAGAACTTCACATTTCCAGCAAGTTCTAAGGCATATCAGTGTACAGAAGTTGAAAAGAAATTAGCTTCCTCAGCAAAATCAAATAGTTCCCAATGAATTCACAAGTAGAGTGTTTGAAAAACCATTCATTTCAGGTTAAGTAAGTTCTCACAGATATACACATGAACAACAGTCAATCTTAGACCAATTGCAATCAAATCTATTTGAATTTTTTTTTAAAAGGACTTCAAAATTCGAACCTGATCCGAGGATATCCTTGATATCTCCACTGGTTGGGGAAGCTTTTCCGCTCAAAACGGCGAGCAAGAAAGCGGCGACAACCTTCATTTTCTGAGAATACAGAAGAGTGAGTTAGAAAAAAATTTCAACAGATCACTAAGTAATTGAAGATAGTTAGAATAATAAGGAGAAATTGAGGAGCTTACTGTAGAATTTGATTGATCTCGCAGAAAGCGGAAAGCTTAAGAGTTTTTGGAGACGGCGATGAAGAAGAAGTGAAGAAATAAGGAAAGTACTTGATTTATATACAATTAGGGTTTTACGCCGTCGGTTCGCTATTCAATGTCTCCGGTTTTATCAAAACCAAATTCCCGGTATACATTTTAATGGGGTCAGTTATTATTCCAAGCCCAAATTTATATGGGCTTCAATTTTCAATTTAGTTGCGAACTAAAAACGAGCAAAGTCCTAATCCTAAAGTCCTAATACAGTTAACCGCTGTGTTCAAATAATCGCCGGTAGGTGGGCGGACCGAGTCCGACTAGTGTCTAAGCCGAAAACCGAGGATTAATTGTTGATTATTAGTAATTATTTTTTTAATTAATTTATATTATTTTTAATTTTTAATTATTTTATTAGTCTTTTTTACAATTCTTAATTTTTTTTGGAAGGTTTAGTTTGATATCATTAACTTTTTTTTTTAACTATGAAATGAAATGTAAATATCATTTTTAGTTTAGAATTTTTTTATCGATATTTTTTTTGAAAAATCAATTACTATTTTTCTCAAATTAATTGATGATTTTTTTTTTAAAAAAAATCTAAATTAGACAACGGCAAATCGGGAGACGAGACGGCTAGACGTCCAATTTTTCTAATGGAATTAAGTAACCATATAAGGAAAATATACTAAATAAAATCCTATATCAGCAAAGATTAAGCAGTTATTTTTGCTTTATTCTTAAAAAAATATTCTTATTTTTGTTTCTATTGTACATGCTAATTATTTATTTTATTAATAAAATTTTTAAAAAATTTAAGACTTTACATCCAAAAAGAATAGAATTTGAAACAGTGGTTTATTACACACTTTTCCTTGTTGACTGCTGAATATATATCTGTTTATCTTTTAAAACATCTGAATTAATTTAAATTGAAATTCCTAAGGATAATATTATTACTGGACAGCCAAAAACGAGCAAAATCTCCTAGTACCGTAAGGATTAGGATTAAGTAACCATATAAGGAAAGGTTACTAAGTAAAATCCTAATCGGCGAGGATTATGTTCCGTAAGTAAAACCTTATTATATAAAGAAAGTTAGGTTAGTTTCTTTTTCCTCATTACATACTCATCAACGCTCTCTGATTCTTCGAGCTCTTCACCTCTTCCTAAAGTTTTCTTTTGTGATCTTTCTTGTTTGTCGTCGATCAATAATGGCGACAACAACAACCTTAAGAACATTACGCTTCGTTTTCGTCATGATGATGAGTTTCACGGTTCTAATGGGACGTCATTGCTCGGCGAAAATCTACAAAGTCGGAGACTCCGAGGGATGGACCGCCAAGGCCGACACATATTATGATTGGGCTCAGCGTAACGAATTCGACGTCGAGATTCTCTGCTCTTCGAATACGATCACAACGTCAACGACGTCACTCAAGTCTCTAGTGCTTTGGCATACGATTCATGCGACTCTACTTCTCCTAAAGCCGTTTACAACACAGGAAACGATACCGTGACTCTCAAGGAACCAGGTTATCACTACTTCATCAGCTCAAATCATGCTCAATGCGTAGCTGGGCAGAAACTCGAAGTTCTTGTCGTCCGTTATGACCTGTCACGTCCGCGCAAGATCTTTCCTTTTGGAAACACATACAAAGTCGGTGACTCTAACGAATGGAGTGTTCCTAAAGAGAATGACTTGTATTACAAGTGGAGTGAGGAGAAACAGTTTCATGTGGGAGACAGTCTTCTTTTCTATTACGACGACGAAGTCAACGACGTCTTGGAAGTAAACAGTGATCTTGAGTTCAAATCTTGCGACCCGAGTTCTCCTCTTGCCGTGCACAGTTCGGGACAAGATCTGATTAGGCTCACAAAACCAGGAATCCACTATTTCATTACCTCAAAGACTAGTCGTCATTGTGAGGATGGGCTTAAGCTTCGAGTGGTGGTGCGACCACTACACAGAGCTGTTCGGGAAAAGAGGAAGTTGTCACCTTTGGAGCGTCTCATCAAGTGGTTACAGAGCTTTAGGCCCCATCCCCATCACTAAGCATTCGTTTTTGTTTGGTTTTTTAGATTAATCAATTAGAGCTTTCTCTTTCAGGTTTAGGTTTAGTTTTTATTTTTATTTTTATTATTCTTTTTATTTTTATATAATTTCCGTCGTTGTGGTGTTGATTTGATTCGAGCATATTATTCAATCAAGTTTTTTTTTTAATTCAATCAAGTTTCATGTTTCCTTAAACATAACTGAAGCACAAAACTAGAAGACATGTGTATCACAAATATGCATCTCTGATTTGATCTCTTTGTTCTCATTCAACACGATCCCCAGGTCACATCTTGTAAGCTTTGGCTCTCGCTTGAGAACTTATTATGCGACAATGTTTGTGCCCTGCAGTTTTATAACGAGTTCCTAATATTTACTCACCAATATTGACGATCTTGTACTCGATCAAGTCCTAGTGATGCATATCCTCAACATGTGGCCTAGTAGTTTTTTTTTTAGCTTAGGTGGCAAAAGTGTAAGAATATTTTCTTAGGTGATATATATGTCTACGAATTTAATTATAAAGAATCAAGTTCAAATTAATGTTTAGAATTCTAACATAAAATACAATACTGTGATGGATCAATTTTGATTAAAGGTGCTAGAATTTGGGTGTATTGATAATTCTCTTTCTTACCTTATAATATTAAATCTTTTATTAAGGATAATATATGTTAAAAGACTGTACGTTCTAATTGTGATGGTTTGCATGAGTGTTTTTTGTTATTGGACACTTGTTATACTTAATAATTTAAATGTTAACACTTGTCCTCATACATGTCATTTTTATAGAAGGTTTAAAGTAATATAAAAGATTTCATAATCTCAATATATTAGTTTAACACCATTAGAACAACACACACCCATTAAAACTAAAATAAGAGATAAGAAAGATTTATATCTCTTCTCTATCAAAAGAGATCATAAAAGAGAAAAATTAAGGAAGAAGAAATCAATTGACTCTCATAACAAATATAAAAAGAGAGCATGGATCAAGGTAAGTACTTCTTCTTCTATAAGAAAATATTTGTGGTTGGATTAAAATCAAATCTAGATGATCTTAAGATTAATTTTATGAACTAAAATTATTATAGTCAAAACTTATATTTGGTAGCAGGCAGAGTCATCTAGAATTGTTTAATTTACCAATTAAAATATATACTTAAACCGGAGGTTAATATGGTTTTGTATAGTTAATATCTTGTATAATTTGTTTGATATTATAAAAGTATATATAAGATGCTACCGCTATGCATTTTGATCAAGAGGTAATTTGTGATATGAAATGTTAACTCAAAAAAGTATATTTACTTATTAAAGTTTCAATATTTTTGGTGTATATATAATATGTTAGTCACTAAAGTGGCTAATATGTATTAAAAAATAATAGTCAATTGATCATGATTAAAGGATGGTATAAATGTTATTAAAGTTTTTTATTGGTCAATTATTTTACTATCTATATTCTAGGAAATTATCCAAGGATCATTGAATATAGTTAGTAATACGAAAAATATTAATCATTTCTTACTATGTTCAATAACATGTATACCCAAAGGTAGCATGCTTATTTGATTTGTATATTTTGATTAATCGTAAAAGTATAAATTTAGCATCAATAAAAGTGCATGTATTTAAGTATTGCCCAAAGTTTGCTAATTATTATGCTTAAAAGATTATATTAAAGTGTTTAAATCTGTATTAAAGTTTCAAAGCATTAATGGGTAAGAATGTATAAATGTTTTGTAGCTTCATCAAATTTATTTGCATCCGCTAACTCTGTCATAAAGTTCAATGGACTCAATTATGGTGAGTGGTCCAAACAAATGCGGTGTACACTGGGTGTTATGGCACTAGACTCTGCAATATTAACGGAGGATGAACCCTCAGCCATTATAGTAGATAGCTCCGAATCTGAAAAGTCTTGGTATGAGAGATGGGAGCGTTCTAACCGGCTGAGCTTGAACGTTATGAGGTCGATGATGGCAGAAAGTATTAAGCCATCGATACCTGAGACAGAGAAAGCAAGGAAATTCTTGCAGAAAATTGAGGAATGTTCACAATCGCATTTGGCTGATAAATCAATTGTTGGAAGCTTAATGAATGAACTTCCCACAAAAAAGTTTGATTGGTCTCAGCCAATTCTTGATCATGTGACGCACATGTCTAACTTGGCAGCAAAGTTAACGACTTTAGGAATGGAGGTTCATGAACAGTTCTTTGTCCAATTTACTATAAACTCTCTTCTGTTTGAATTTGCCAGTTCCATGTAAATTACAACACCATTTAGAGTTAGGAACTTTTTAGGTATTCTGGTACAATGGTGAATTCTCATTGTACCAGAATGGTTACTTTTTTTTGGTAGTGGTACTTTGTATGAATCACTTTATAAATTCAATCTTGATGAAAAGTTTTGTGAATCTTTGTTTAATATTGAAAATCGAGACGTTAAGCGTAATGCATTAGATGAAAGTTCTGCTTTCTTGTTGCATCAAAGATTAGGTCATATTTCCAAAGAAAGGATTATGAGGTTGGTAAAAAATGAGATTCTTCATCAATTGGATTTTAGTGACCTGAATATATGTGTAGATTGTATTAAAGGAAAGCAGATTGAATATATAGTAAAGAAACCAGCCACAAGAAGCACTCAGTTTTTAAAGTTAATACACACTGATGGATATGTCCCTTTGGATATCCCTTCTTGGGGTGGCGAAAGGTATTTCATCACCTTTACTGATAATTACTTACATTATGGATATACATATCTACTAAATGAAAATTCTAAATCAGTAGATGTCCTAGATATATTTATTGATGAAGTGGAAAGACAGTTACATAGAAAAAGTAAAAGTTGTGAAGTCTGATATAAATGGTAAGTATTATAGATCCATAAATCTCTGGTATACTCGGTCGCCACATGATACTCAGAAGCTAAGATGTCACTAGCTAGTAATATTCCTTCACTTTTTGTTGTTTTAGTAAAGTTGGTCCTTGTAATATTTGTGTAATACATGTTTTGGGT